AACAATTATTATGATAAATATTAACATTTACAAAGAAAATATTTTAATTTCTTAAAAGAATAAAATAAAATTTCTACAAACACTTAATCGTAATAAATCACTGCAAAATACACGTTGTACAGAAATAAATAAATAAATGCTTTGCTCCAATTGCTTAAATGTTGTTAGAATAATGTAGAACAGTCTTATATAAAACGAGTTTGAGAACCCCTAACTCTCTCCATACCAGGGTTATAACGGATTATTCCCCTCGGTGCATAGAGCAGTCGACGATGCCACTTTGCTCAGGCCACCACGCCATGTCCCTCGGCTTTCGCCCAACCTCCGCACCCGTTCCGACATCGATGAGCGTCAATTCCGAGTCGACGGGGGCGCGATCAAAAATATTTATCAAACGGCACGTCAAGCGGATCCTTTTCCGCGCGTTAATCCACTCATTCATCGCGGCTCGATTAACCGCACGTCCGAATTATTAAAATCTATCGACACGGAATTAAATGAGATCGTCATAATCACCTCGATGATCCTTCGAATTTTGAACACCCTGAATTTATCTCTTTCACGTTTCACGTACCTCTCAAATTTACCGAGGATGAGTTGAGAGAACTAACTTTCAAAAGAGTTAAGCACTTTGAAAAATTTTGAGAATTAATCGTCATTAAACTTTAAGAATTTACTTGGTAGTCTGATAATCGAAAGTTGAAAATAAAGAGTGATGAATTGAGGATTGACTGCAATTTGAACGTAATACCTGGAAATACCTGTGACAACTATAAAGTCGAAAAACAATACACTGCCAGAACAGAGATTATATATCGTTTGTTTGCATGTAAATATACGTTCGTTAAATATTACCTCTCTCGAATAGCGCGGTGATCATTAATAATATCGCCGGCAAATCGTAGTGTGCAAAAATAATGACGCCGCTATTACAATGGAGAGCAGTCGTATCGGTGTCACTCGCCGAATCGGGCGGCGAATAATAGATGACGCGAGTCAATCGGCTGTGTGTATCGACGTGTCGGTATACTTTCAAAACGGCTTCGACAAAGCGGCTGCCATGAACCGCGGATAGCGACGAGAGACGCCAAGTGAAAATACTCGCTGCAATTATCGCACAAAGAGCAGAAATAGTTCATGCCAATTTCTATCTTGGTTGAACTTTATACCCTCAGCAAAATCTACACGTTGAAACATCATATGGGGTCTATTATATCATCAAAGCGCATATTTATCGTAATCTATACAATATTTGCCCCTAAAATCGATACATAAAATTTGCATTTAAAATTGCAGCTTGCGGAGTGCACGGTTTGCATATGTAAATAGATAAAAAAAATCACACAGCAATACAAAAGCATACAAAAAAGTCTATTAGCATTTAACTGTGAAATGAGCACCGAAGACAACTGCAAACATGATGAAAGATGTCTTTTACTGTCGTAATTTAGCGCAAACTTATTCCTTCCTACTCCTCCCTCACCTCTATAAAATTGATATGTACAGCAAAGCTGCTATATCTATTCACGAGTATAAAACTTTATTGCCACGCAGTAAACTCTTTCTCCGCAAAATTATGCGAAAATCTCTCTCTCTCTCTCTCTCTCTCTCTCTCTCTCTCTCTCTGCTTCTCTCTTTAGAACGTACGAAAGAGCAGCATTACAGTTAACCGGAACGTTTAACAGTTAACACTGTGACGTGTACACTCAAGTGTCGTCGGGTTTTCCGCCGCGAGCACATACGCGCGTGCCCTCCCAATTTTGTTGCAGTCGAACCGAGCCAAGCCGAGCCGGGGCGAGCCGCGGGCGCATCCGCGACACGTACACGAGTTGATTGACGCGCGAATACGTGTCCGGCGTTACATGGCTCGCGAACAAGGTTACGAACGAGCACGTACGTGCGGGACGACGATGACGAGAACGACGACGGTCCCGATGTGTGCCAAGGCGAGAGATACACCGAGGTCCGTTGGAAAACGCGCGGATTTCACGACTCCGTGCGTGCACACAATGTCCTGTGTACACGCTACAGCAATTTCAACGTAATACATTCGTGAAATATTCCTCGCGGAATATAGCGTCGATTTTTTCGGCCCCGTGCCTGTTGATAGTTAAAATTTTTAATTTTTTAAATATCTCGCCGATTAAAATTACGGTAAAAATTCCGAGAATATAAAAGTTCGCTTGAATTCGAGCAAATGATGAAATTTGACTATTTGATTGCATTTCAAACATTTCGAAAGTTTGAATATAAAAAATGCGCGACAAAAAGTGAATGTTTCGCGCGGCAAGCGCACGGCGAGTTAGATAAGGTCCAGTTTTGAGAGAAAAATTTGTCCGCGCACATCCAAGAAGAAAACCCATCCTATTCGCCGCCGTCCAGCCAACCGTAAAATACGATAACGTTGTTAGATTTCTTCGAGGGAAAATAATGCACAACTTTTGATGGCTGTGGATCGAGAGAACGAAGCGCGAGCGAGACGAGATTTATTTATGGTGCTCCGCCGTATCTCGCAAACGATATTTTTCGCTTCGCGTTTATTTTCAGATATACATATGCGCTCTCGCGCGCGAAGACTCGCGACAGAAACCAAAGCTCGTATTTTACAATAACGTTCCCGTCGCGTTTGAGAAGCGGATTTATTTATTCAAGTGTCACGGCAATAGTCTACCCCGACGTAGAATAAAACGGAAGCAAATACGTAAAGCATGTCAATGCGATATCGATTTTTTGAAGTTTGCATTTGGATGAAAATAGAAAAATATCATCTCTTCATGTCTTCGTGATTTTTTCATTAACATGTTTCTATTCAATTTGCGAATAGATATAATAAAAAGGAATCCACTAGACTAATTCAATTTGAGTTACAATTTTATGTCTATTTCCTAGATATTTTGTCTAATAAAAATGTCCTCTTTATATTTTATGTAAAATCCATCATATCTTAAAAAATACTGTTGCTATAGGAAAGTCATTCTTTCATTTGCGCTTTAAATTATTCACTTTTATATGAATAAATTTAGCTTGTTAATTATCTATTGTTTTACTGTCTAATTACTAATGCATGTCATGAGTATCTAATGAGACATTTCGAGTATTTTTTTCCTCTATAATCTCCTAGTATCTCTTTCAGGCAAAACTTTTTCCGATGCACGCAACGGAACGCAATATTGATGCATGTACGCGCATACATCATGCAGACTATCGTTTCGTCGCGGTTCGTTCGCGTTCTATGCATATGAACTTATGTAATTGATTCCGTGCCGGCTCTCATCTTGCCGCGCCGCGAGCGAGTTAGGTGCGTACGAGCGTTACGCGTCGCCGCCGACGAGACGAAGATACCGATCGGAGGAGGGAGCTCGGGCTCGTGGCGACTAACGAGCTGCCGGAAATCAGCATTACATATCCGGTCGGAATGCGTCGCGCGCAAGAGAAAAAAAATTCCCCTGTTTTTTATCCCGCTAACATAGCTGTGCGCGCAATTTTGTGCGGAAAAGGAAATCCGTCAACTTAATTCAACTTGTCTCTCTCAAAGGAGAAAGAAAAATTAATTGTAGACATGTCCGTTTTTCAAATCACAGTTTTAATATGACAGATACTTTATGAATGCGAAGTAATGAATGATATAATGATATTAACGTGTATTCTAAAATATATTCCAGATTCAATGTAAAAGTTATTTCTTCTGATGTTTGAAGTTGAAAATATTTAATTTAGTCAATAATTTTCAAGCTATAAATCCACAGAGATAAGTAGCTTCTCATGAATCAAATTTTTCAGAAATATGAAAACAAATAATGGTGTATCATTAGTCGACAAATTTGAAATAAATTCTAATTAAACTTTAAATTCGTTCATTATAAAACAAAAATTTCAAAAGTTCGAAAAAATGATCGATCATCTTCATCAACATCTCAAAAGATAACTCCAAATTTCGTGAGAACACTTTCTCTTAACGCTGAGTAACTTGAATGGTCGACGCGACGTTGCGACGAAATTAGTCAACAACTGGCAGAGACTTACCTTTGGTTCCGTCTTCATCTTTTTCGCAGGCGGAGGACTAGCGGCAGTGTCCATTGCTTCCTCGGCTGGTGTCGTGAGCGGTGGACCCGGCACCGCGGCGACCTTGGTTTGTTCCGGTTTAGCCGCCGCGCCGGTCGCCGTGGCGCTCGCCGGACTCGGCGGCGGACAGGGTGCCGCCGCGCTGGTCGCGGGTGGCCCGGGGCCCTGTGACACGGAGAAACCTGTCCTCGAGCTGGGCGGTGGTCCCTGGGTCTGTTGTGGCGCCGTGGCGGCCGGCGTCGGGCCCTGAGACTGCGTCGCGCCACCGGCCGAGTTCTGGCCCTGCGGCGCCGGTCGCGCGGTACCGTTCATCTCCGGCTTGGTCTGCTGGGGTGTGTGATTGCTCTGCGGTTTTTCGTGCTTGTCCCGCGCCTTGTCGCGCCGATGACCGCTCGAGCCGCGTTTCGAGCCGGCGGTGGACGAGGGTGCGGCACCGGTGCCGCCGGCCGATGCCGGCGAGTGGCTCGGTTTGGATTTGTTCGACGAAGACGACTGACCGCCGCCCGCCGCGCCGCATTCCGAGTTCTGTGAGTTCTGCGCGACCGCGGCCGACGCGGACGTCGATCCGACGGCCGAAGACGAGGACGTCGAGGACGCAGCGGTGCCGTTATTCGAATCCTGTGACGAGGCGGTACCGTTGATTTCGTTCGATTTGACGATCTCGTGCTTGGCCTCGCTGGTCTTAGTACCGGGCTTCGTCCGCTTGATCTTCATCTTGAGGCCCTTGTCGACGGTGGCCGAGTGTTCAACGGCCATCTTGCCGGGATTACCGGCGTTACCGTGGACGGCGTTTACGCCGCTCACGTTTATGCCCGACGCTTGCTTGTTACCGGGACCGGTGACTACAGACGCGGTGCCGTTTGTGTTACCGGCGCCGTTCGCGCTGCCGGTGCCGTTCGAGCCGCCGCTGCCGCTCCCGGGGCTGTTGGAGCGCACCGACGACGAGTTCACGCCGCACGAAGAGGAGGACGATGACGATGAGGATGACGAGGAGGACGACGACAACGACGACGACGAGGACGACGAAGATTGACTGCTGGCGTTCGTGCCAGTCGACGGGACGGACGAGGACGAGGAGTTTGAGTTGAGACCACTCGCTGAGTTCTGTAACTGATGATGATTCGCGTTATTCGGTGCCGATGCTGCCGAGGCAGGCGTAGAAGCCATGCCTGTCCCCGAGCTCAATTTCTCGTCCCTCGTCTTCTCAATGTCCGCATCAAGATCGATTATCAGGTCACCTATGCCAATGTCCCATTCGTTGTCGTCGTACTCAAAGTTATTGGTCGCATTCGTCGCGGCCGGATCCAGCTCACCGGCGTTAGCAGCCACTGTGCTTGCTTTATTAGACTCACGCTGCTGATTCGACGACGACGACGACGACGACGATGACAATGACGACTTGTCCCGACCTTGATGGTGATGATGATGGTGATGATGGTGATGGTGATGGTGATGGTGATGGTGACGATGATCGCGATGCTCCCTGCCGACCAGCGCTCTCTCTTGCCTCCTCGATTGACCGCCGCTAACGTTGTTGTTACTTAAGCCGTTGTTGTTGTTGTTGCTGCTGCTACCGCTATTACCGTTGTTGCTATTGCCGTTGCTGCCGTTACCACCACTGTTACTATTACTATTACTACTACTAATACCACCACCACCGATGCACGGAGATGGTCCTTTACGGTTTACGTTAGGGAGGCGACCGCCTAGTGGCGTGGTCGCCATGCCCTTGGAAACGTTTCCCCGGCGCCCGCCAGCCTGGTCTGCCCGCCGTTTCTCACTTTGGATACCAAGTAGTAGTAGTGGTAGCGCGCGTGACTACACGCGTTATCATTACCCCGACCACCGCCCGCGAGACGCGCCTCGTCCATCGAACACATCACTCACTCTCTCGCTTCTACTCTCGCTCAACGTAATTCGCGATATATCCGGCCGTATCTCTCTTCTCGCCCCTCTCTCTCTTTCTCTTTCTCTCTCCCTCTCTCGCTTTCTCCTCGCGTCTTCCACCTCTCGGTTATCGTGTGTACACCTTATCCACCTTGATTTCTCCTCACCACACTTGCTCCCTGTCGTCAATTCTTACTCGCGTAGCCGGGACGCGCAACCTGATATACCTCTCACCACTCTTCATCGACGACACACTGATTCCCCGACACAACACCACGATCACAGCCACTGAACCCCCCCTCTTTGATCACGAACACACCACCCGACACCACTCGTGATTACTTCCAACGTCGTAGGAAATCTCGGCGACCATCCGCGCTCTCGGAATCCTGAGACCCGAGGATGGTGGCTCCTCCACCTATCTCCCACTTGTCGCGAGTTAAGCCATGTCCCCCGAAACGATCCTCCCAGTCGGCGTCAGCCTAACGTGCGGTTCTTCCCTTCGATTTCCCGACGGAACCGCGCCTCGGCTGATCGACGTGCTTCCGATCTGTAACACGCAAGTGATTCCCTTCATGTCGATGTGTTAAACGTGTAACGATTAATTTATCATTTAACGGATTAACTTGAGATTATCTTGTCGAAACAGTTACTTCGTGGATGTCTGATTAATCTGATTCGCCTGTTTATTCATGATTTCGTTTTTACTAATTAAATATTCATTACGTTATCTTCTATTTTAATAATTTTGCGCTTATTAAAACACTTCAATTTTATAAGAACCTAACTGTCTTGAGAAACATATCTATCATTTATCATTGTTGTCTATTATTTTCTTATTTTGATTCAATTAAAATTTTATTTTTTATTTTAAATTCGATGGATGGTTACTGTAAGATGTGGCAATAAGTGCCACGAGAATGGAGCAACTCCAATATAGCGAGGCAAGCGCAATCCGTTTCTCTGTAAAACAACGCCGAGATGTGCCGGCACATTCTTAGCTTGATAGGCACGCCGCTCGCCGCTAACATGAGACGCATTCCAGCGGCATAATTATTGTTTTAGAAAGAAGACGAGGTGACCACCGTTATTTCACTATGATAACCTATCTTATGATATAAGTTGCTACACAATTTTGCCTTAGACAATCCGGTTGCATTATTACATAATTATTAATTCTTATATATATTTGCTGTCATAAACTAGAATTTATTTTTAAATGTAATATTTTAGAGCGTTTTAAAATATTACAATCGTTGGTAAAAATATTTTTAATGAGGTATTGTATAAATTTTAAACTCTTCTCTCTCTCTTCTTGTTATTTTACTTAACTTCTATTATTTACTTTCAACATGATCAAAAATTTTGAATTAAATTCAAAAATGCTAGCAATATATTTGCAAAAATTAAGTTAACAAACTTTATTTAAAGATTAGAAGATACATAGGGAACGTTTCGATAATATATGCATTTTTTTTTTAACTTTAATAATTTAACTAATAATTTTTAATACAACGGTCACAGAGCAATGATAAAAAGTAAGTTCGTTATTTTTCGAGAACATGTAATTTCTCATAGCGAGAAAATTTTCTAGATTAAGTTCATAATCGTAAAATTTGCAGAATGAAATAAAAACGCCCGCGGACCTTATTACGAGCTGCGATAGAGACGAGGGCGCGGTCACCCATTTGGGAATCCGGCGACTTTAATTAATTTGGCAGCGCTAATTTGGCGTCGCGGCTGGTCTACTCGAAAGACTACGCGCATCACTTTGTAGTCACATTGCTTTCATAAACAATACTTGATAGCGGATAAGTCTTCAGGGGCACTTGGCCGGCGGCCAATAACCAGCGAAACGCGCGCGCGTTACTCGCCGGCGTTTCTCTTGGGAGAACCCAAGAACGAGTCGAGAGCCGACGTAAACCGGGTTGTTAGCTTCGATATAACGACATGTTTAGAGACCCGCTTCCTCCTTCTCCTCCCCCTCCTCTCCACCTTCCGGCTTTCACCCCGGGCGTGCAACGCGGTGCAACCTCCTCGTCTCGCCCCCGGGACGTTCCCTCTTTCTCTTTCTCTCTGTTTCGCACCTACAAATTGGTATTCCCACTTAGAGAGGAATTCGTGTCAGGCAACGATTAATTTTACCGGCGGCATTTTGGCCGCGGTCCAACCGCCCCGCGTCAGTAACGACCGGCGCGAGAAAGAGAAACGAGGAGATTTGGACGAGGAGAGGGAGATATATCGACGGATCTCCCAATAGAGAGTACAGTAGAATTTATTCCGTGTTCTCTAAAACCGAGTTCTCTCGAAACATTATATGTGACACACGACTGCGTGCGACAATAGTAGTATAGATGGTCGGCGCGAGAAATAAAAAAGAGACAACAAATGACAAATTGTTTTGTCGAAAAATAATAATTTGAGAAATGATTTATGACTGATAAGTTTTATAAATATATAAGCTGTCTATATTCCGTCGTGACGATATCGATTCGTATTCATCGTGCGTACGCCAAAGTAGGATGATTAAACAGCAACCGCTATTTACGGTGAGAGATAAATGATCCGAGCAACGGCTTCTTAAAGTGAGGAATAGAATTAACATAAATTACTGAGAATGACTTGTCAGACTTTCTTTAATGTAATTCAATAACGTTTCGGCATGCACGCGCCAATTTACGTTAGCAATCAATTTTACACGATCAGCTATCTTTATAATAATGAGACCCGAAATTATCTTTTACATTTAATGTCGGTATAAATCGCGAGATACAAGATTTTTATAATACAGTTTAAAATCACCTAAAATAATAAAGAAAAATGGCAATTGAGACACTTAAGTTAAAAGAAGTAAGTAGATAAAGGTCTGGCTGCTCGCGTAAACCTTTCTCCATTTCACCTCGCTTTTTTTGCGGTTATAGATCCGATAATCGTTAAGTGCATCAACTGTTGTCCAATCGACCGCTGCTCCCATACTAATTCATGCGAACATCCCGTTGATCGGCGTACATAAAATCGACCTCGACAAAGACAGCTTTAGTATCGCGCACGATCACAGCTCGGCCGCCGTTACTCTTATTTTGATTGTTTCCCCTTTAAGGTTGAATAGACGGATAACGCAACTATCGACCGGCGTAAATGCCTCGCGTGATTATAGCCCCGAGTGTAAACGAACTCTAAAGTGAACTCTCGCGGAAATTTCATCGAAAAGTGACTTCGAAAAAATGTGTATAAAAAACAACGTATATAGTCACATATAATATACGTTTGTATATGCATATAGATTTATAAATTTGTAATCTATATCACTTTGCAGTTATGTTTGAGCTGTTATTCTATGTTATGGAAAATTTTTAATTTGGTAGGTTGAAAATCAAAAGTAACATAATACTTACTTCGTTAACACTATAAGTTCCTTGAGCGATATACCTTATATATTATATACTTTGTATTTCCAGATTATCTCTGCGTCACATCGCGAAAAGGGGACGATATATATATTCGGGAGTTAATCGAGAAGAAGCGGAAGTCGCGCAAAATCACAAGATCGCAGCGTAGCCGGGAACTTGTCCCGGCCTTAAGTTACACCGTCCCCGCATTAAGTTACATGATTAATCGCGCGACTTCGGGGAGTTTCGCGACGAAAATAATATCCGGTGCAATTTATACCGGGTGGGATAAAGACGAGTCGTTAAGACGAGAACGCGCGGTGGGTATCGCGCGAGGGATCCCTCTTCTCCACGTTCTCGTAACAATTCCACGAATGGAGATTGACGGCATTCCTGGGAGAACAATTGGTAAGCCCGAACTATTCCGTACTGTGGGCGCAAGCATTCTGGCGAACCTCGATCGTAATGACGTCAATGAAGTCCACCACTGAGGTCGGGCGGAGGAGAATTTACCTTGTTAACGGAGTTGAGTTAACCCACGAATACTTCGATCCGAAGACGGATGCGAGAGACGCAAAGCTAACGAGTTACCTTCGGAAAAACGAAAACGAGAACGAATCGAGAACGAACAGTTTTCCGTAGAATAATACCTCGTTTGAAGAAGGGTGATCTCCGTTTCAAAGAAGAAAGTAATTGAGAGGAGAAATATAACGAAATGAATGTATAAAAAGATTTGCTTTGCTTTATAAAAAGATTTCACAGAAAAATCAGAGTTTCGTAAAGATGATAGTGAATGTTTAAAATAAAGCTCTTTTTTAGCAACGTGTATCGAACGGATTCTATCGAAACGGCTTAATAAATTTTAATTCACAACATTATGCGAAAAATATAAAAAAATATCTCTACGAGTACGTTATTACCTCAAAAGATTATATGCAATAACGAATATTCCAATCTTATTGCCTTTATAATTACGTATACCCATCAAAAAAGATCTTAATTAATATTTAAATCAGTAGCAAATAAGCTGTTTAACGAGCTCGTTATCAAAGCTCATATCGAGTAAATTCATTCGAACGCGATAAACTAGTTGCATTTTTTAATTCATTTTTTTCAGCAAGTAAACTATCTTTCGCGCGTAGACGAAACCTTAAAGGAAACATTAATTACGTTAATCTGTGGAATTAATCAAACGTGTTGGTGCACGCGTTAATACGAAAACAAAGACAGGTTTCTTCTTAGCGCAGCTAGTTTATTCCTTTGTTTTACAGAACGAGCTTCTTATTAACATGTAGCACGGCAGTCGAGCGGAGAGAAGGGGTCATCGCTTATGCTAACGATCCTGCCGCTACTTCCTCCGAAGTAGGGACCACGTAATGAGTTTACTTAAACGAGCTGAAGATTAAGATCTCCGCTGCGTTTTGTGTTAAATTTATCGCTAATACCCCTATTAAAATACTCACACAAGTGAACTCTATATGCGCTTAGCGCGAACGTCTTGCAAAACACGTCTTGAATAGTACTGGAGCAGCCTTAGATCGATCGATACTAACTATAAAGATTTAAACTAAAAAAAAAACAGAAATTTATATCAACGTAGAATAAAAAAGGTCGTTCAAGTTTAAAGCGCACGATTTATTACGATGAGAATTTATGATCTTGTACCATTTTCTACGGTACATATACGTCGAGTTTCTAGCAAATTTCGATTATGTAAGACCTTTAAAAGAGTCTGCATCTTATCTTCTGATAAAGTCTGATAATGACAGATTTAGAAACTCAATGTTTATTTACATTTCATGGTTAATTTCCTTCGCACGGAGCAAGATGTCAGATTTCGACAAATTGAATTAAATCTTTTAAATCTTTTCGCAAGTTCGGATGGCTCATTAACTCGTTCCCTAAAGTGATTGTTTTCTTTCGCTTCTTTTTTTTTCATAATTTTGCGTGATATAGTCAGGAAATTAATTTTACACATTAAGCTTTGCATAGATGATTAATGACGTTTCGAGTAATGGCTCTCTACGGATCGTACGGTACTCTATGCTCTTCGATTGTGAGTCCAGAACGCATAAATCCGGGTTGCATCGAGCAATGTCGAATTGAATTCTAATTACGCCGTGTTAATATTCCATTACACTTGTCCGCGTGTGAATGGCGA